GAGAGAAAACAGTCAGAATTTACATATTGTCAATGTTGAATCAGATTCACCTCTAGGAATCTAATGTGATGGTTGTATTGGTGCAAATGATTTGATAAAAGTATGTTTTTTTGTTAAAAGAAAGGACCCAACTTGTTTAGCTTTAAATAATACAGCAGAACATGTTTTTTTATCATTACCTAGTTAATAAATGCATAAAAATGCATGCATGAAAGCCGTTTTTATAGCCCAAATCTTTATATTTTGAATCACATTTCAAAATACTTTTAATATTAAGAAAAATTAAATGCTTGAATTTTTTAGGCCTAGCAGTTTAAAGGAGTGCGGGACTGACCGCATCAGTTGAGCGACGCCCTTGTTGTTAGCCAATGAGAAGAAGCCACTGTGTGGGGAGAAGTCTATGCAGTTGGTGCGGTGGATGTACTTCTTCTTCTTGGCGATGGGGAAGTTGGAAAACACAGTCAAACTGGGCAGGTGGACCTGGACACACACACACACACAAACACTTCAAACTACACATAAAATATACACACTGTACACACTGTACACACTGTACACACTGTACACACACACTTAATTCCAAACAATAACATCAGCAACATATGGGTATATTTTGGATTTTAAACTAATTCAGGGTAACAAGTTAATTCAGTTTAGGTTCAGGTCCTTGCCATCCTACACAAGCAACCAATCCCGAAAAGCTGTGAACAACGACAACAACCACAACAACCAACCAACCAACAACACTATAACCAACAAGCCAATGGAACAAAGGCAGTTTTTCAGACTCGTCTGTAAAGACTCACCAGGTGCAGGGCCTCGTCTTCATTTCGCGAGGCCATGGCAAGGATCTCAGAGGCGGGGTTGAAGGCCAGAGAGGTCACCGGGGTCAGCAGGTTCATCAGCGTCTTCAGAGGCCTGGGATTGGCTGATGTCAGGCACTCCCGCTGAGCATAGACGTTGACCACTCCCGACTGAGAGCTAAGGGAGATAGATAGCTTTAAGGCGCAATGAGGCACAAGGATTTTCCTAAAAAATATGTAAAGGCTCATACAAAAATAATCCCTCTCAATCATCACTTATGACCCACTGAAAGTGAAGACCTGGCCCTCTGCCTGTATTTTCTAATTTTACTTTGTTCGGGACGTTTCTGGGCGTCAACCATTGGGCAGTCGATAGCCCGCAGCCAACAGAACACAGGGTGCAAGGCGGAACTCTATAAAAACGTAGCGACCAGGTCGCAGATCATAGGCAAGCATCCAAGAGGAAACTACGACAATGGTGGACACAGCACCGAACATATATATATATATATATATATATATATATATATATATATATATATATATATATATATAAAAATACATATAGTGAGGTGAAACACCAAGCGGACAAAACACTGAAGGAGAGGATGGGGATAAAGCGCGACACAGAATTGGCCTGTTTTCTGTTGGACAGGTAGGTGCCTAACACAGGCGGTTAGCTTAGTTAGCTTGCTATAGTAGCCAAGTGGGTTTTAAAGTATTTTAAAGTAGCCTCCACAGTCAGGGGGCAGGGCTTCTGGTGTCGTTCACCCGGGGAGTAGGGGCCAACTTTGAATGTTGCGTTTACAAACTGCAACCGCCAAATCACACTTATTGTGCCTTTAATATACATTACACGTATTAGTGTGTGTGTGTGTCCCACCCGCAGGCCAGGTACTGTCCGTTTCTGGATGTGGCAATGCTGGTTCCCTTCACACAGCCGTTGTCCGCAAACTTGTTAACACAGCGACTGCTGCGCACGTCCCACATGTAGACCTCACCCTCATCTGCAACACACACACACGCACACAAAAACATCGATGATCGAACATATTTTCTTTCATCATATTTAGTTCCCTTTAGGACTTTGTGACCAAATTATAACTTGATGTTTGTGTAAACAAAAACGGCATATGGACCAGATCTATAGACCTGCCAAAGAAGTAAACCTACCAGACCTACAAAAGAAATAGTCCTACCAGAGAGAAAGTCCTATCAGAGTTAGTCCTACCAGAGAGAAAGTCCTATCAGAGTTGGTCCTACCAGAGATGGTCCTACTAGCAGGGCTCCGAACCGGTTCAAGGAACGAAAACAAAAACCGAAAACGAACGGAATTTTACGAGGAACGGAAACGGAAACGAAAACCAAATGGTCTTCAACTGTTCCGGAACAGAAACGTTATTCTGAAATCCCCAAAACCGGTTAATAACGTTTTTTTTTCGTTCTCTATATACCGTAAAACTTCCAATAAAAGCGGGGTCCCTAATAGACGCAGGGGTGTGGCGACACGTTCTGACAAATAAACGCAGGTCTCCAATTGAGGCCGGATCTGGATTTTGTCTAAATTATTTCTTGAACGACTTAAGCCGTTTAGATCACCTACACAAAGATACGGTAACCGTTTAAACGTCTGTCCATATGGACATAACGCACATCGTTAGATCAGTTAGACTCTCCACAGATAAATCATTCAGTTCATTTAACACAAACTATGAACACCAACGCATAATTCATCAGACTTACCGGTAAACAAGAGAGACGGGGAAAAGGTCTGACTTCCAACTTTTGAAGCGATCATAAAGTCCGTACGGTGTGTGTCCGTTCCTGCATTGTTTATATTCCTTAAGTCCGTAAGGGTCCACCGGTCAAAAGAATCAATGGGTTTCATTAAATTAATCCGAGTTGTGAATAATATCATGTGAAGTCCGTTGCTCACTGTCTGTTTACTGTCTGTATGCTGGCTGTCGTAAATCTTCCACTGCCGTAAAACGACGTTCACGTTCGAGCGTCACCGCGGACCTACGGCCGGCGGGGGTGCCCGCAATCATAGATATACATGTATACTATGTATATATGTCTATGCCCGCAATAGTAACACAAACACACCGCGGGCCGACAGGGGGGGGGGGGGGGGGGGGGGGGGGGGCGCGCAATCATAGACATATATACATGTATACTATGTATATATGTCTATGCCCGCAATAGTAACACAAACACACCGCGTGCCGACGGGGGGGGGGGGGCGCGCAATAGTAACACACCGCGGGGGGGGGGGGGGGGCACGCAATAGTAACACACCGCGGGGGGGGGGCGCGCAATAGTAACACACCGCGGGGGGGGGGCGCGCAATAGTAACACACCGCGGGGGGGGGGGGGGGGGGGGGGGGGGGGGGGGGGCGCGCAATAGTAACGGCCGACGGGGGGTGCGCAATAGTAACACACCACGGACCTACGGCCGGCGCGGGGGGGGGCCGCAATAGTAACACACCGCGGAGGCCCAATAACACTGCCGGAACGTTAAGAACGAACGTTATTTTACGCTCCGAACCGGTTCAGGAACGATATGTTGGTGGCGGAACGCAAGAACGAAAACGTTAAATATACCGGTTCCGTTCGGAACGGAACGATTGAAAAATAATTTCGTTTTCAAGCCCTGCCTACTAGAGATAGTCCTATCAGAGTTGGTCCTACCAGAGATGGTCCTACTAGAGAGATAGTCCTATCAGAGTTGGTCCTACCAGAGATGTTCCTACTAGAGAGATAGTCCTATCAGAGTTGGTCCTACCAGAGATGTTCCTACTAGAGAGATAGTCCTATCAGAGTTGGTCCTACCAGAGATGGTCCTACTAGAGAGATAGTCCTATCAGAGTTGGTCCTACCAGAGATGGTCCTACTAGAGAGATAGTCCTATCAGAGTTGGTCCTACCAGAGATGGTCCTACTAGAGAGATAGTCCTATCAGAGTTGGTCCTACCAGAGATGGTCCTACTAGAGAGATAGTCCTATCAGAGTTGGTCCTACCAGAGATGGTCCTACTAGAGAGATAGTCCCATCAGAGTTGGTCCTACCAGAGATGGTCCTACTAGAGAGATAGTCCTATCAGAGTTGGTCCTACCAGAGATGGTCCTACTAGAGAGATAGTCCCATCAGAGTTGGTCCTACCAGAGATGGTCCTACTAGAGAGATAGTCCTATCAGAGTTGGTCCTACCAGAGATGGTCCTACTAGAGAGATAGTCCTACTAGAGATAGTCCTATCAGACAGGTGGGAACCTACCAGATTGTGCGAACACGTTGCTTCCGTCCGGGGAGAAGGCCACTCCGCTGACAGAGCCATTGATTTTCAAACTCTGAACCACTTCCTTTGTCTGCATGCACACACACAGAGTACAGCAGTTGGTAATGTTACTTCCAAACGATCAACATAATCCAATTCATAGTGAAACATTAATTCAGTAGCCATACCTTCTATTGGTGGGCATGTATAAAATAACTAGAGAAAAAACTGAAGATGTACTAAAAAATAAGATCAACTTTATTAATTTCAGACAAGGAAACGACAATTGGGTATAGGGCATATAAAAGGAGCACGGAAGTATGCCTTTTGTCAAATATTGATCATCGCTTGCAATACAAGATATGAAGGAAATGCAACTTCAAATGCCCATACAGCACATCCTTCGATGTACTTTGGAGTTGAATTATATGAATCAAAAACACACCTTGAGTTTCAGGACATGCAGGTATCCGTCGGTCCCAGACAGTAGCAGAGAGTCTCCCTCGGGAGACACAGAGAACTCTCTCACGCTGGACTGCTTCAGACCTGCAGAGACAGGGAGAGAGAGAGAGACAGACAGACAGACAGAGACAGACAGAAAGACAGACAGAGACAGACAGTCAGAGTCACAGACAAACACATACTTGGGTCATTGTTTCTTTCCAAAGCGACTCAGTGATTACATATACACGTCATTAACGTCAAGTAGATTGACACTAGTAGTTGGACATCTTGCTCAAGGACTAGGCTGCGGACATGGGGGGGATCAAACCCAATAGCTTTCAGCTGGTAGTAGACATGCACATGCACACTAGACATGCACATGCTTTACTCCTCTCACGCCTCATTTGCTCCTACGGTTGTAAAACACATACATCCAAAGTGTCTTACAATACGGTGAGTGCATACATGCTTAGTGAGGGTGGCCTTAGTGGAGAATCGAACCCTTAACCCTGGCAGTGCTAATGCCATGCTCTACCAGTTGATGCTAGAGTGGACCACTGTTTTCACATTCCTCATCCTCCACACCCATGGACCCCCCCAGAACCCTCTCCTCACCCCTGACTGAGAAGATGGGCACCACCCGGCCCTCCATCATGTCATACATGTAGAACATCTTGTTCTTGGTGCCGGTGGCGATCACCGACTCGCCGTCACAGCTGAACTGGGCCTTGTGGATGGCGAAGCGCTCCAGGTGGATGCTCTGGATCTTCGGGTTGGTCCTCCCGTCCACCTGTACATCGGCATTGTCGGTTCACACATCACACAGAACAGCATTATCAAAAGGCGGCGCCCACTTTGCCATAGCTTTTCCATGGTCTAGCGTGACGGTGTGGAGCTGCTTTCTTGTGATGAACCTGGCGGTTTCCCTAGCGTTTTGTCACTGTGCTTAAAAGTTGAAATACGTTTAACTTTAGGAGCTAGGTGTGGGAGCATCACTGCTCATGAACGAACAAAAAGACATCGAGAAGCTGATTTTGGCAATAGTGGGATAATAGATAATAGTTTATTCAAACATTAAGAGTTTGCAAGAGCTCGGCTCTTGTCAAGTCCATTTTTATCATTGAAACAGTTTAAATGGCACTAATGTGCATGCAGCCCCACTCCACAAACACTGAGCAGTTCTTGCAAAGGACTCTGCAAGGGTGTTTTTAAAGGGTCCGTGTCTGTTGCAACATGGTTCTGTGTGATTGGCCCCTAAGTTCAGAAGGGGGGGGGGGGGTGAGTGAGTGGAGAGAGTACGCACCTGGAAGAGGGAGATGGACTGGTCGAGTCCTGCTGTCATGACGACCTGTGCTGAGGGGTGGAACTGGACGGTGGTCAGCTGGTCGTTGCAGGAACGAGCAGCGTTGGCATGGAGACACTTCTTGACCTGCTCACAAGACAGACACACAAACAACACATTCATACTTTAAGTAAGGAATAGATGTTGTGCTTATACCACAGTAAAAGCAACAATGATTAGATATGAGTTGCTTTCATCTATAATATTATTGTTTTTTTATCGACATATCAAATATATTATATACAGTCCCTGACAAAAGTCTTGTCACTTATCCATTTTGTAGAAACAACAGCTTATAACCTGACTTTTAATTAATCCATTGGTTTTAGAAATGGCTCATATGAAAGCTAAAACCCTCCCAAATTATGTTTAATATACTAAAATGAATTTGCTTCACTGAAGAAAGATTGATCATTTAATGAACACAGAAAGGTCAGATTTTGGCAAGACAAAAGTTGTGTCGCCTACAGAGAGTAATGTGAAAATTGAACAAATAATTTACTTCAAATACAAAAATATGTTGCATAACATCAGTGAATTAAGTAGTGGTGCTGTGAGAGCCATATTTAATATCTTGTATGACTTCCATGAGCTTGAAGGACTGCATCTCCATGCGGTTCGACAATGATTCATACAATTTATTGATTAAGTCATCAGGAATAGCAAAGAAAGCAGTCTTACATGCCTCCCAGAGTTCATCGAGATTCTTCTTTGGTTTCGTTTTCCATGCTCCCTCTTTCATTCTACCCCAGACATGCTCAATGATGTTCATGTCTGGTGACTGGGCTGGCCAGTCCTGGAGCACCTTGAAAGATCAAGGTGCTCCAGGACTTCGCCTTGAGGAACTTTGATGTAGAGATGGAAGTACACATCACAGCTGCCGCAAATATTGCAGGAGACCTACTGGAGCCCGCATGGATCCGAGATTCACCCAGAAAACAGTTATGTTTGGTGGCGGAAAAATCATGGTCTGGGGTTACATCCAGTATGGGGGTGTGTGAGAGATTTGCAGGGTGGAAGGCAATATCAATAGCCTAAAATATCAAGAAGTATTAGCTACCTCTTACATTCCCAACCATAAAAGGGGTCAAATTTTGCAGCAGGATGGTGCTCCATCGCATACTTCCATCTCTACGAAGGCGAAGAAGATCAAGGTGCTCCAGGACTGGCCAGCCCAGCCAGCCAGACATGAACATCATTGAGCATGTCTGGGGTAGAATGAAAGAGGGAGCATGGAAGACGAAACCAAAGAATCTTGATGAACTCTGGGAGGCATGTAAGACTGCTTTCTTTGCTATTCCTGATGACTTCATCAATAAATTGTATGAATCAGTCGAACCGCATGGATGCAGTCCTTCAAGCTCATGGAAGTCATACAAGATATTAAATATGGATCTCACAGCACCAGTACTTAATTCACTGATGTTATGCAACATATTTTTGTATTTGAAGTAAATTATTTGTTCAATTTTCACATTACTCTCTGTAGGCGACAAAACTTTTGTCTTGCCAAAATCTGACCTTTCTGTGTTCATTAAATGATCAATCTTTCTTCAGTGAAGCAAATTCATTTTAGTATATTAAACATAATTTGGGAGGGTTTTAGCTTTCATATGAGCCATTTCTAAAACCAATGGATTAATTAAAAGTCAGGTTATAAGCTGTTTCTACAAAATGGATAAGTGACAAGACTTTTGTCAGGGACTGTATATATATATTTCCGCTGCATTTAGTTTTTGCGTCGTCAAGGAAACATTTGGTTTGATAGCTAATGTAGTAGTAAATGTTGGATTTCTAGCGCACTGATTTGTTGAAAGGCGTAAGTGTACGGTATTAACAGTGTCATGTATTTAACAATGCTGTGGTATAATGTTCAATATGCACTATTGTTTGGCGACTTCACCACCTTAACAAAGTGCCATGTTCTTTGATTAAATTGACAGTATGCAGTTATGGAAAGTTGTCTCACACCTGATGAACTCTTTTTTTACTCTACTTATTCTACAGTGATTTTATTTTGCGATGTGAAACACAGTAATTTCCCCTCAGGATTAATGAAGTCTCTCTCTCTCTCTCTCTCTCTCCCCCTCTCCCTCTCTTCAGAAGAAAAAGTAGCCACTTTGAGCAAAGCTAAAAACACTATTTTTTTTCGACATCGCGTCATGTTATGTAACCTTAACCTTGGCTAGGCCTCGATGTGTGGTGAGTAGGTTGGTACTCAGTCTAAGGGTCGTGATAGTGACTTTTCCGAACAGGAAAAGGAACGGTGCTAGCTTCGTACCTGGGTACGTTTTGTGAGATGGGACTTCTCTGCTGCATCTGTTATGAAAAACGCAGTCGTGTGTGGCGCTCATTTTAGACAGAGAATTATCTTCCCAGAGACATGATGGAGTTCAGGATGGGATTTGGAAGCCAGGACCAGGTGAGACCGACAGCCAGGCCAGTTCCTTCAGTGCACACAACGGGGCAGCTTCTGGTTCTGCTGCTCGACAAAAATGTCCACCGTGCGCCGTAAGTCTAGTTTTCTAATGTTTGCCAACTTGCAATTTAGTCAGCATAATGATTTCAATAATGAGAAGCAACGTGTTGATACGCATTAATTGTTGTAAAGAAGGCCTAAAGGCTATTGTTAGCCAGCATTAGCAACCTATTTTGCTGCCATAAGAGAAGGTGTCTGTAACCTCAGTTTGCTAACATTACAACCCTGAAGTCTACTTACAGCTTGGTGACTTTGTTTACACAGCTAATACATTTGTCATTCATTTTCATGTGGTGTAATGTTGGTGTGTTATCAGGATTTGGGAGACACTACACGTAATGAAGGGACAGGTGCGCCTAACGTTACAGCCAGTGCAGCAGTGCCTGTAGACCCAGAACGGGAAGAGGAAGAGGCCTTCTCTGCACTGGCTCCTCAACCATCTGTGCTTCACTGTGGCTAACAGTGTAATCTGTTACCTTCCACCACTGCTTACTATACTCATAAAGTACACATATTGAGATATATATATATATATATATATATATATATATATATATATATATATATATATTAGTGTTGGGTTAGGGTTAGGCTCATTTGAATTCTGTCGAAGGCATTCATAATATGTGTGCTACCTAAATAATGACTAAAAATAAGTCTGCGCGATTGTTGACGGGGGGGGGGGGGGGGGGGGTCTGTGTGAAACGATCTGGGTTCTCATAAACCCATTCGCGGTGGTAAGAGACGAGCAGAGTCTACAGCGTCCATTCACTCCAATAATAACCCGGTCACGGTGACCCTAACCCTAACCCTTTTTGGTGTGAATTGTTTCACAGTAGACTGCGGACGCTGTAGACTCTGCTCTGCGAGCGGACGCTGTAGACTCTGCTCGTCTCTGCTCGTCTCTTACCAACGCGAACGGGTTTATGAGAACCCCCAGATCGTTTCACACAGACGCGGGAGGGTACCTTTTGCATCAGTATCAGACGTCTAGGGGCATGACAAATCGTCAGTATATTACGAGTTGGGATGAGAACGTGTTGGGGGGGGGGGGGGGGGGGGGGGGGTCGCCGGGCAGAGGACGCAGCTGTTCCGCAGCGCAGCCGTTCCGCGGCGCTTACCTTCCTTGGTGGAAATCCGGTATAGACCCAGCTCCCAACCCAACTTTGAGAATAGATTTAACGGCGATGATTTTTTTATCGCGCGATAAGAGTCTCGCGTTATCGCAGCGCGTTATCGCAGCGCGTTATCGCAGCGCGTTAACGCCGATAACGGCCCACCACTAATATATATATATATATATATATATATATATTAGGGCTGTCAATCGATTAAAATATTTAACTCGATTAATCGCATGATTGATCATAGTTAATCATGATTAATCACGATTAACTATGATCTATGAGGTAATACTCTTTTCAACATGAGAATAGACAAATGCTTGCTTTATGCAAAAAAAGCATGTTTATTTATTGTTACAATGAGAAATACTCTCAATTCAAGTAACTAACGTGCAAACTGCATAGTAATGTTTACTAACACAGTAGTGTGTTGAACTTCACATTTGATCTATTCATCCTCATTTTTGTTTAAAGGAGCTATATGTAAGAAATGTACTCAAAGTAATCATAAAATGACCCTAATATGTCAATAGACATTGAGGAATCATGTTAATTTCAAGTATTTATGTCAGACATAATAGTAGTCCAGCAGCCGGCCCAAG